AAGAATGTCGCTGAGGCACTTTGGGCAACAATCATGGACATTCCTGACAAGTCAAAGGACAACATTAAGGCAACGTTATGCGATAGACCAAACCAACATATGAAGCCTCCTAGTCGCGGCAAGACATGGAGAAGGCCTAAGGCCGATTTTGTCTTGAGCAAGCCCCAAAGGAGGGAAGTACTAGAATGGATCCAGACGTTAATGTTCCCTGATGGGTATGCAGGTAATCTGAGGAGGGGAGTGAACTTATCTACTATGCGAGTCTTAGGGATGAAGAGTCATGACTACCACATATGGATTGAGCGGCTTCTTTCGATGATGGTTTGAGGCTATGTCCCTGAGCATGTCTGGCTAGTGCTGGCAGAGTTGAGCTATTTCTTTCGCTAGCTTTGTGCCAAGGAGTTATCTTGGACCGTGATTGCTGACTTGGAAAGAATGGCACCTGTGTTGCTCTGTAAGTTGGAGAAGATCTTTCCACCCGACTTCTTCAATCCGATGCAGCATTTGATTTTACACCTCCTGTATGGGCACGAATGGGGGGGCCCGTGTAGGGCCGTTAGTGCTATCCAATCGAGAGATGTCTAAAGGTTCTTCGAAAGAAATATAGAAATAAATGCAAAATCGAGCCTTCTATTGCAGAGGCATACATTTTGGAGGAGGTGGCGAACTTCACAACAACATACTATGGTGACAACCTCCCTAGCGTGCATAATCCACCCCCTCGTTACAATGCTGGCGAAAATGAATCAAACCTCAGCCTTTTCCGAGGGCAACTCGGAAGCGCAAGTGCATCGACCCCCAAGACCTTGAATCATGAAGAGTGGCGCCATATCATGCTATACGTGTTGACCAACCTTGACGAAGTGGCGCCGTACATGCAGTAAGTTGTCAACGAACTTGTTAAATACGCCGTCACTATTCTACATCCAACCCCCTTGTTTCTCGTTGGTACAGGGAATTTCTTCATGAATTCTGGCGTCAATCAAGGGATCCTACCCCGCAGCAGGTAGATACCCTTCCTAGACAGGGTGTAGGAAATGGAATGTCCGATTTCATTTCTTGGTTCAAACAGAAGGTACCGTCCAATTTAGCTCGTACTTAGTTTGACATTCCAAGTTACTCGTGCGTGCGAATAATATAATGATGTATCCTGCTTGAGCTTGCAGGGCCAGAAGGATGCGTCTATGCATGCCGAGTTGAGACAGGTTGCCGATGGCTTTGCCTATAGGGTCAGGTCATTTTCCAGTTATGACGTGAATGGATATCGCTTTCACACAACAAGCTACGAGCAGAGTCGGCCTAATCGAAGAACCACAAGTTCCAGAGTTTTTACGCCCGGCGTTGATGAGGTCAAGTATTATGGAAGAATTGAAGAAATATACGAACTCAAGTTTCATGGTTCCAAACCTTTTAATCCCGTCATATTCAAATGTCATTGGTTTAATCTTGAAGTAACGAGACGGACATATTCTAATCTTGGGCTAGTCGAAATTCGACAGGATTCCGTCTTACTAGGTGACGATGTCTATATTGTGGCCCAACAGGCCACGTAAGTTTATTATCTCCCATATGCGTGTCAAACCAAAAGTCATCTTAAGGGTTGGGATATTGTGCACAGGGTATCGCCACACGGTAAAGTGCCTATCCCAAATGATGAAGATTACAACTTAGACCCAAACACATATGACGGAGAGTTCTTTCAAGAAGAGGGACTAGAAGGGAGGTTTGAGATAGACTTAACTGAAGCGATCGGAATGGAAGTAGACAATGAAACAGTTATTGAAGAGGACGCTGGAGATGAGGTGCAAAATGTGAAGGACTTACAAATGCTTGAGCGATTACATTTAGACAATGACAATGGCAACATTGCTCATTCAGATAGTGTTGATTATTTCGACATGATTGATAGTGATGATGAGACTTATGATCCAGCTAATCCCGATCATGAAGATTATTTCTAATACATGTAATACTATATTATTTTGTAATTATGTTTTGTTTATTTTGCATCTCTTTGTAAGTACTTCTTGTTTATCTGTGCATATTGGTTTACTCTTTTTAATTGCAGGTGATTGAACAAAAATGGTGGGCGGTGGGATGATGAAGCTAGGTGATGATACTTGTGGTTGTTAATGGTACTTCTATTTGTAATTGTGGTTGTAGATGATGGAGCACTTGGATTACTTGTGAACTTATTTGTGATATATTGTGAGACATGTGACGTTTGTGATATATATATGTGGTGTTGGTGATATATATGTGCTGTTGATGATATATATGTGATGTTGGTGATGTTTGTTATATATATCTTCTATTTGTTTAGATGGAATGTAAAAAACAAATAAAAAAGGTTGTTTTCAGTCACTTTGCCGAGTGCAATGGCCATGACACTCGGCAAAGTGACGACCTCATGCTTTGTCGAGTGCAAAAGCCATTGCACTCAGCAAACATCACAGATTTGCCGAGTACCACGGGCCAGACACTCAGCATAGTGGCCACCTTTGCCGAGTGTCTGAGTCAACGACGCTCGGCAAAGCGGCGACCTTTGCCGAGTGCTTGACCTTAACACTCGGCAAAGCCGTCGTCACGGTGGCGCTCACCGTCACGATGACTTTTCTTTGCCGAGTGTCTGATTAGCACTCGGCAAAGGCTTTGCTGAGTGCCCGATAAAGTGTACTCGGCAAAGAGGTCTTTGCCGATAAACTGTTTACCGAACGCCCTTTGCCGAGTGTAACACTCGGCAAAGGCTTCGCCGAGTGTATATCGGCCTTTGCCGAGTGCCTGAGGCACTCGGCAAGGAAGCTGAATCCGGTAGTGATTGGTTATGGATGTGCTATGGGAAAGGGGCATGATGAATAAATTTGCAACATCATATCGAACTTTTGTTTTTAGGTTCTAGTTCTCGAACTTAATTTGTTCCATCTGGACTTTCTTCTTTATCTTAATATAAGCTGTACTCCTGCTTGGTTTCTGCTTGAATCGTTTTTTTTAAATACTCCTAAACATAAATGTCTGCTTTTAAATTCCCTTTATAATAAACTGAGCGGTCTCTCCGAAGTTCACACAGCGCCAGCTGCAGTTAACTCGATCTCTATTTTATTACATATAATTAACAGATCTACCATCATACACATTATTTAAATTTGAAATTCCAAACATGTGCTGCCAATGGTTCTTTGGTAATCCCTAGATCAAACAAATCATTGCACTTGATTAAGAATAGTGTGATCCAATGCAAGGAAAGAGGAACAAAGAAAGGGCATTATTAATTTAGGACATTCTGTCAATCAATCATCATGGCATGAAGGCTGACATTGTAGCATGATTTGGTGACCAAAATGCAGGCATGTTTTGACAAATGTGTGTCCTTACCTGTTGGCTCATGGACATCTACATCAATATATATGTACACATATTCCGTTTGTTTGTGTTACATCACCGACAAGGCCAGCACAGCTCTGGGTTTGTTGCTATGTGCACTCATGATAGCACCACGTACGGATCGTGAACTGGTGATTTTCTTGGTGATAGTGTGGTTTTCTTTTACACGTTTGTGTGTAGTAGGATGGGAACAGATAATTTGAAGAAAAGTTGCCTTGAGTTTCTTGAGGTAGCTGCATCATGATGGCACTTTTCATATAAGAGTTGGATGTGGCACTAGAAGCTGGACATTTGAATTCCAATAGTATGGCAGCTTTAGCATAAATAAAATAGGAAGGCCAGGTCATCATCATATTCATATATAGCCCCAGGGTTCCACTTACATGGGTATAATGATGTACAAGTCTTTCTAAAAGCTTAATTATTCATCGATGCACGTTTCCTACTTTCCTTGTATTTTTTTTTGTTCAAAATAGCTTCGTTCCTTCGTAATAGAAAAATGACTTCTATACATGCCCGAAAAAAACACTTCTATATAGTTTTTTCTATTTTATTGAACAATGGTTGTAGCCAACTCTTTCTAATGATATCTTAAGTCATCCCTCAAAAAATGACATCTTAGGTTCTTAACATACATTTGCTCGCATATTATTGCTATCATGCCGGATGTCAGCATTAGCCTATAATTTCAGTAAAGACCTGGCAAATAATTTCAGTGACTAGAGTGCCGACATGCGAAGGTAACAACAATATAGTTCATCATGGCCCAACTAGGACGGGTCTAAGTCAGAACTTTGATTCCTAGTATTACATTACTACAAAAACGCAAAACAATATTTAAAATGTGGTCCACTTGTTTATGAAAATCAAATATAAAACTTTCACACTTGAAATGGGTCATGGTCAAAGCCATCTATAAAAACAAACCCAATGTGTATTACTGCAAACATCCAATTATCAAACGGTTTTATTTGTCCATCATCCTGACAAATTGTGCGAGAATCTACCATAAAAGTCCAATACTAAATTTCATTTTTTTTATAGAAGGAAAGCTAAATAACATATTCTTTACAACTTCTATGCATTGGGCAGCATTTTAGGGAACGGTAGCAATTTTCTTTTCTTTTCTTTTCTTTTCTTTTTGTTGAGAGCCAGGGGAAGGAAGCATGAATAGGCGAATGAAAAGAGGCACCCAGATGGTCCGGCTCGAATTTATCCAAAGTTGGGCTATTGGAACCCAAAATTGACCCATATGCCAAAGGCATCTTGGGCCTAATTATCTGTCAGAGTGTCAGTGGAGGTAATCATCTGACTGGCCTGCAATTTCTCAAAAAAAAAAAAAAATCTGACCGGCCTTCAAAGCTCAAGGTGGGAAAAAACAGCTGAAATGACATGAAGGGCTGCAGCAGATTTTACAGAAACCGAATCAAACTAGAGACGCAAACTGGATCATTTGCGACCAAAAACTACAACAAACGACAGACCAGAGGTTCAGATACTAAAAAAGGCAGGATGAAATCTAGCAACCGAAGAACGGTAGATGAGTAGACAGATCACAAATCCCCGTCATATCTGAATCGAGTTCTAGTAGAGAAATGGATCATCTGAAGACATGCAGTTCAGTGCTGCTCCTGCCGTTGGCTGACGGCAGGTGGCTGGAGCATCCACCACGGCAAGCTGATCGCCGCTCCTGGCGGCGCCGCCGCCCTTCCTGGCTCGTCGGAGTCGCCGGGACTGCAGTGTTTACCGGCAAGTTCAGGTGGGCACTTAGCTTTCTTGAGCTGAAGAAGGAACTGAACAAAGAACATGCCAAAGCACATGCACCCGATGGATGCTCTGTTGCTCACCAGATGTTGAGGTTTGGAAGGGCGGCTGCTACTGCCATAGAGGAAGCTGCGGTGTTGGTGGTGTGCAGGGATTCCCCCAGTGCAGCCTTCTCCTTCAAACATGAACACAGAAGCACTTCCAGGTCAGATCAGTTGCGCTGAGCTCGATCAAACTCCATGAAAAATACATTTGGGAGGTAATTAACTGATGAGAAACTAAAGCAAAGACAGCATCCATTGAAATAGGGTGCATCGTTTCACTTTCAGAAGTACATGTGGGAATTGGATATTATAAAAGAGTACTAAAAAGTGTGTGTTCTGTGATTACCTGCACTACCAACGATGGTTTTTTTTTTTGCGACTTTTATTAGAAAGGAGAAAATAAAAAGTCAAGTGCCAACGAATTTTTTGAGTGAAAACCGAGGCAAAAAAACCATTCGGCTAGGGAGCGTGTGCCACCCACCCGTACAACTTCGGTACAACGACCAATTAATTAACTTCACACCACTAATGGCACATGTATGATATATTTAGCCAACTTATTCGAAACTAATAACCCAACTAGGAACTAAACCATTGATGCTTTTTGCTCTACAGGTGTAATAAGATGATCCATTACCTTCTCTAGAATGCTATTTTGTTCCATCAGAAAAGCTTCCTGCAAGTAGGGATTAAAAATACAAAACTTCAATTACTTCCACCACCTCTCACAAATAAAAACATGAGAACCAAAACAAGCAATAATAAAGAATCTGAAGAACTAATTAAAAATCTAAAATCATCAATCTAGCTACTTTATTTGCGATAGAATAAAAAGTTGTTTTTAGTAACGATGTAAAGGTAATTGCTATATTTGGCATATTTGCCTTGTTTCGGAGCTCCTCGATCGAGTTGAGCAAGATGTGGACCTGAAATAGATAAAGTAGGTATCAGAAAGGCACTGTGAGCACTGACGTGTGAGTAACAGTTCTGACATATGTGTACAATCACCGTGCATGTGACATGTACCTTCCTGGATCTGATTTTCCTCAGAGCGCTGTCTATCTGGTGCTCAAGTTGATGTACCTCTCTGAATGTCAGGGACTCAAGTTGCTCCCCCATGAGATTCCTTGGATAAGCATACGACAAGTGTGAGCAGATGAGGGCCCTATTATTCACATCTCACTTAATTAGGCTGTGTTTAGTTCGCGAAATGAAAAGTTTTGGATGTCACATCGAATGTTTCGGAGATGTCGAAAGGGGTTTTCGCATACTAATAAAAAAACTAATTACATAGCTCGCTTGAAAACTGCGAGACAAATTTATTAAGCCTAATTAATCCATAATTAGCGCATGGTAGTTACTGTAGCACTTATGGCTAATCATGGACTAATTAGTCTTAAAACATTCGTCTCGCGATTTCCAACCAAACTGTGCAATTAGTTTTTTTTCCGTCTATATTTAATACTTCATACATGTGCCGCAAGATTCGATGTGACAGTTTGGGGTGAAAATTTTTGGGAACTAAACCAGGCCTTATATATGAGACATGTCGAGTGAACAGGAGTTTTTATCTGGCAAGTGCACATGTTTTTTCAGAGATTGCTTGGTTAATTCGATATATATCAAAATTTATTAAGCTTCTGTTTTTGACAGCAGTTTTTCTGTCAGTAATTATTTGCAACTTGTTCATTATCTTAAAAAAATTATTTGCAACTTGTTACCTTTGGCTCTTCTGTAGAGCTTCAAGTTTGGACCTCAACCTGATGTGGTCATAGCTCATGTTCCCCTAGAAAATAAATGTAGATGAGAGTGATTGTAATATCAAGAACACAATGAATGATTGTTCCATGTAGATTAAATAAACTTTTAGTCACGTGCACATAGAAATATTCAGACAGTACACCCACTTATATCCCTACCTGTGATTCTTCAGGGTAATCTTCCGTCACATCCCTATCTTCACAAAGTAAGTACCTCTCATATCGATCAAGGATTCTCTCCATGCTGCTATTTGTAAAAAGAAAAAAGGGAAATGTTTATCTATACATAATATATCACCCTATTATCAATTTACTATGTTTCTCTGTATCCTCATCTGCCACACCAAGCCATAACGACTTACAATTTGGAATATAGGGAGTATAAATTTTAGTTCGATACGAAAAAACAATTCTCCAATAAGTTAGAGCATTTAATAAAACACACTTCCTTCGCGCCAAAAAGAGTGCAATTCTACCTTTTCCATAAGACAATTAACTTGAAGTTTGGCCAAATCGATAAAAATTTTATTGACATTAATATCAAATAAGTATTATTAGATTACTTAAGAAATATGTTTTAGAAACATATTCAAATATATAAATATTAATACTATTTTCTGTAAATTAACACATGGTCAAACTTAAGAAAAAATTGATTTAGTCTAAATCTAGAATTGCACTCCTTTAATTTTGGGATGGGGGCATTATTATATATCATATGCATGCATGAAGAAAGATCACTGGCCATCAAAATTGTGGACAGAAGATCTATCATATGGATAATGCATGGAGTACATGTAAGAGTACAAGGAATTCACGTCCAATAATTAGATCAATCAACGGTTGGGTGACCCACACATGTATAGTGTGCGTGTTTTTTTTTCCCTTTTGAGGTAAATATATGCAGGTACCAATAGCAGGCAATGTACAAGGCATGCAGAGCACGGTAGATCCTCAAATCCAGTAAACATTGCAGCTCCACTGACTTATGTCCAACTCAATAATTCAAACTAGCAAGCACCTCAGTTCTTTTGGACTCCAGAAACAGCTCATTCACATGCACATGTGGATATGTAAGTGAAGCAGAGTTGAGGCCTATTTTATTGGTTGAAGCCGCATAAGATTAATGCCACGTCAATCTTATTAGTATTAGACTATTAGGCCAATTGTAGCGCGCAACAAACAAAAGCAATCGGTGAAAGATTTGTTGCATTGATTAGAAACTAGGGACAATGGCACTGCACAATCTTTATTTAGCGCATGTACACCACTCATGTTTCCAACGTATGGTTTCTGGTTACGCCCTGTTCTTCAGCACTACTTCAGCAGTACTTTTCAGCGAACGAACAATGTTTTACTCTCATAACAAATCAGCATAAGCCAAATTTCCACGACTATAAACCGATTAGTTTTCTTACATACTGTAGCTAATTGAACTTTTTATTTTCTCCTGTAAATATATCTTCTCTTGTTGCATGTCAGCTTCTTAATCTCCTTCTTTTCTTGCATGAACGAATTGTCATAGATATTTCTGATTAGTAGTTCATCCTCTTGATTAGTTCCTTTGCATGGTTGATGGGCTTTATTTATTCGCTGTTAACATTAGCAAAACGAGTGAGTGTGCAAAAGAGTCCCTAACCGGCCCTCAACATAGCTTCCCTGACATAACTTGTTAATTACTAGACACCACATGCACACAGATTGAAGGTGTTTCCTTGGAGAAATCAGAAATGGCTTAGATGGCGATGGAGTAATTGTTATCGTTAGTCAAGTTAATGATCTAAACAGACCGAACGATGCTGCCCAGCATGAAAGCAAGGACCAGTCCGACCGACTCCGTACTTCCGTAGCGTCACGTTTTGTGAACAGGACGTGTTTTTTCGTCGACGGAATCTCGGCCCGTGTTCAGTTGCAAAAAAAAGTTCCAAAAAAGTGCTACAGTATCAATCCCATCGAATCTTGCGATACATGCATGGAGCATTAAATATAGATGAAAAAAAAACTAATTACACAGTTTGGTGGGAAATTGCGAGACGAACGTTTTGAATCTAATTAGTCCATGATTGAACACTAATTACTAAATAAAAACGAAAGTACTACAGTAGCCAAATTCCAACTTTCCCCTCAGCTAAAGAAGGGCTCGGTGTCACTTCCTCCAAGGGCCAATGGGTAGTACGTGGTGTCAAAGGAAAAAAAGGGGCCAATGGGTGGTGAGATCCGGGTGCATGCATCTCTGTGCGACTGTGCCACACACCAGTCACCAGAGGCGGCCAGAGTCCAACAGCAACACGGACCTTTCCTCATTTGACATGCATGTCCCATCGGAGCTAAATGTGTGTCTCGAGAGCCGTTCGTAGAGCTAGTAGCTAGCAGTGCTCAGTCAGTGCACGGCGGCAGCACAGTGCCGTACACGACCCTGAGCAGGAGTGTACTATACTTCCATAAATAGCGCGTGTACGTAGGGTGCCCGTGCCTGCCTCCGGCCAAATAACGAGGAGGCTTTTATCTGCGTACCATTATAAAAAGTTGATAATTATTCATAACTTATTAAAACAATTGAGTTCTCACATGTGCCACTGCTCTGAACTATTTTGTCTTATACGCCACTTCTGTCAGATTTAGCACTAACGGAGTCAAACTGTGGACGTAAAAAGTCAAAAATACCCTTGAATTTGAATATGTAATTAATATTTTTTTAGCATCTTAACGATTTCAAATGAAAAACTCAAAACTAGAAAGTTATAGATCTCATCGAGATCTACAATATTTATCATATCAAATCATTTTTTGTACGGAATTAAATAAAAGACAATTGTTTTTATAAAAATTGTAGATATTGTTGAGATCTACAACTTTCTAGTTTTGAGTTTTTTTTCATTTGAGGTCATTAACATGCTCAAAACAAAATAATTACGTATTCAGACCTGAGGGTATTTTTGACTTTTCACACCCACGATTTGACATCGTAAGGCTAAATCTGATGTAAGTGGCATGAAGGGCAAAATAGTTCAGAGCAGTGGCATCTGTGAGAACTTATCTTTTTCAATGACTTATATGTAATTACCAACTTTTATAATGACACACGGATAAAAAAACCTCAATAATGAGATGCCTGTCGTGCGTGTACTGGCCTGTACGACTTAGTAGTAGGTGCCACCACTCACGGATTCACCACACTACTAAGGCCTGTTCGGCTAGTATTAAAGCCGACTAAAACTGTTTTATGGTAAGAAAAAAATACTGTAGATTCTAGCTGATAAGCCGGCTAATAAGTTCAAGCGAACATACCCTCACCCACTGGGTACATAGATTACCAGAAAAGAAATGGTGGGCGTACGTAAGGAGTACCATTCAAAAGTGTAATGCATTCTGCATGCACGTAGACGACGTCGATCACCGTACGTACTGTACGTACCTGCCGTGCGCGGCGAAGTCGTGGAGCCTGCCCTTGTCGGAGAAGATGAGCAGCGCGACGTCGACGTCGCAGAGCACGGCCAGCTCCCGCGCCTTCTTCGCCAGCCCGCGCCGCCGCTTCGAGAAGGTCACCTGCCGGCTCACGCTGTTCTCGATCCGGCGCACCTCCACCTTGCCGCGCCCGCGACCCATTGATCTTCTTCGATCGCACAGCAGCCGGCCGGCGGCGATGGACGGCCGGCCGGAGCTGGAGAGGAGATTAAAAGAAACACGCACTACTAATAAGCCGCCGAGGCCGAGCGCTCATGTGCTAGCCAAGGCTTGCTATTTATAGCACGCGGAGGAAGCCGGGGAGGGGACTGGACTACTGGACATCGGAGCACACAAGCAGGACGGTTGACCAGTAGCGTCTGCACGCTCACTGGCTCCTCCTCTGCGCGGGCGGCGTCGCTGTCAACCGCCGGTTGGCTGCGGCGCCTGCGAGCGGTGGGCCATAGTTAGCGGCCAAGAGTGGATGCCGGAGCCGCCGGGACCCGCGGAGGAACAGCCAGATTCCCGTCCTCCTGCCGGCCGGGACGGCCTTTTGTGGCTGGCTGGTGGCTGCTGGGGCGCAGCCTCGGTGTCTCATAGATAGCCTCATACTCCTAGGAAGGATCCCTGAGCTGATAGGACGGGCTTCGCTGTTTTCCTGTCTGCCCAAATGTACATGAAGCTGCCTGATTACCTGATTCGTTTTAGTGTCTATAATTAGCTTACATTGAAATGAGTTACTGTATATATACCTCACTCCAAAAATGATATAGTTCTAGAACAGTATGCCTGGTCGCGCTACATCATATCTGCGCTGCTTCCCTGCAGCATCTGAGGTAACGTCCTGTGGGAACTAACCTCACTCTAGAGTTTAGAGTTTAGACCTCCATTGTGTTTACCTCAAATCCATAAGAATAGCACATATTGTTAAGTAATTTGCTGCTCTCCAGTGTAAACGTGCGGCAGGGGCAGACGCCGAAAGGGCTCCCTGCTGCTGTATTGTAGCCGCTGCAGGGGCAGGCGCCAAAACGCTCCCCTGCCGCTATGTAGCAACAGCAGGGGCAGACGCTAAAGTCAGCCCTGCTGTCACATCTAGTCACTGGAGCAGCATGGCAGGCTGACATGTTTGTATACTAGGATTAGATGGGTAGAGTTGTATATATAGTTTCTCACTGTAACTCAGTAAAGAGAACGAGTTCAATTTTGCCATTTCCTCTGCAGAGCTCCGGTCAACGCTGGTGCTTGTACTGTGTGTGCGCGCGCTCTGTTCTCTCTCTTTTCTTCTACCTCTAGCCATAGTATGTGGTCGGCAACTCTGGTGAGTGGTCGGCTCACTCGTGTCGGAGATTCAGGGGCCAACAAGTGGTATCAGAGCCATACAAGCGCCATCGCTGGACTAACCGCTGGCGATGACGGACAGTTTGGAGGTAGGCGACAACACCAACGCTGCTGTGTCTACCCAGCTACGACAGGAGGTCGTTGTGCGCACGGTGCGGGAGGTCAGCGACACCAGTTGACCGATGCTGACTTGCACCAACTATGGCGAATGGACGGTGACCATGAAGGTCAAGCTCAGAGCCCGACGGCTCTAGAATGCCATTGACAAGGGCACCGACAACGAAGAAGACGACATGTCAGCGTTGGAAGCCATCCTCAATGCTGTGCCAGCGAAGTACAGGGAGCCATTGGGGGCGAAGAGCTTTGCTAAAGAGGCGTGGGAGGCCATTGCGGCGATACGCGTCAGTTCCAACCGCGCAAAGAAGGCGATGGCCCAGCTGCTGAAGCAGGAGTACGTCAACCTCAAGTTCAAGAATGGGGAGGCGGTGGACGATTTCTCCCTCCACCTGCAAACGCTCATCAGCAAGCTGAAGAGCCATGGTGTCACCATCGACGAGGAAGAGGCGGTCTCCAAGTACCTCCACTCCGTGCGGGTGAACTACATCCAGATTGCTCTCTCCATAGAGACGATGCTGGACTTGTCCACCCTCACCATTGAGGATGTGACAAGCCGTCTATGGGTGGTGGATGAGCGCATGGAGCAGGCCACAGCAACGACGGACAACGGCAAGCTGCTGCTGACAAAGGAGGAGTGGACTGCCCAGATGAAGGAGAAGAAGTCCGAGGAAACCTCCTCCAGTCGCGGTGGTGATGGCAAGCGTCGTGGCAAGGCTTCTTTGGAGAAGAAGAAGAAGAAGGTCGACCCCAACACCTGCCGGCGCTGCGGGAAGATGGGTCATTGGGCAAAGGAGTTCCCAAATCGCAAGCCGGAGGAGAAGGCTAAGACTCATCTGGCGTAGGCTGATGATGATGATGAGGCCACTCTCCTGATGGCGACGTTCTGTGCACTGCACGACATTGAGGCTGAAAGGATCAAGATGCCCAAAAGGATCTGTGCACTGTGGGGTGACCGAACGCTCCGGTCAGTTCTCTCCGCCACCGAGTGTTTAAGTTGTGACTGAACATAGGACATCGTCCGGTCAGCACTGACCGGACGCGTTCGGTCACTATTTTCCCTCTCTGGAACCTTACTGGAGTCGATCGGACACTGGGACCCAACGTCTGGTCACTCACCTCTCAGCGTCCGATCGCACCAGACGAGTTCTAATGGAGACGGGGATCCCGATCTTCCGTCAGGTGATGGTAACTATCGTTGTGGCGGAGAATGACACACCGATCCGGCTTCAGATCGAAAGATCGAACCCTGCAATCTTAGCACCACAGCTCCTCTGGTTATCAACCGAGTCACGGACCAGGTTGACCTCGCCAAGAAGGCTAATCCCTGCCTGCGCAACGAAGAACACAAGCAAGAACAAGAAGGATCGCAACCAAATTGCAGATGTATGATTAATCTCATGAGTTGGGGTCTCACAAACCGAAGAACGGCGAAACTGTTTCTTGACAGAATAATCTAAGCAAAACCCAAACCCTAAAGTATGTGGTGGCTACTGATTATATAGCCTAAGGGACGTCCAAAGATCTCTCTTCACGTCCTAAAGGTGTCCCAACAAGTTACAAGGCCCAACGGCCCAAAAGAAGGTGTTGCAGCACCCTGACAGATTCTGGACACTGACTTGTTTCGATGATTACCGTTGATTCCGAAGAGCTTTTGATGTGAAACCACTTGGATTGGCTTCCTTATCAAATTATCTTTCCATCCATATGTGGATCATCGAAAACGGAGTTCGGATGCGTTCTGGGCGTCCGTTTTATTGTAGACTGGTCCTGATGGCTGAGGCAGACTCGAACTCGGATTGGACTGGGCCTCTGGCTTGGCTTGGACGTCCTTGCTGGCCTCCTAAGGTGGTGGCCAAGGAGGAGGACGTCCAAGGGCTTTCTTGGTGGGTTCTCCAAGTCCTTGGGGTGTGCTCCCACTTGGGCCAGGGTCCCAAGGATGAATAACAAGCCCAAAACGATAGTGTAGCTCCCAGCAGAAATAGCGACAGAATATATTGGCGATTTGGAGGCCTTGCCGATGTGATATTGAGATGGAACCAGATCTATTTGAAAGCTTATCAAACAAGCTTTCCATCAAGTGCTCATTGACCTCGATCGCACTCCGGATGGATGAGTTATGGCCTTCCCAATGAGGCACTATCGGACTGCCGACGAACCGATAGTTCAACTTTGATGAACTTCCATTATGAAACACATTTAAACCTACAATCAAATAGTGACATGTACATGTGGAACCAAGTGAATTATAACCAAAGCCACTATGCAAATGTAAGAACGAGCGCACCTTATAATCATTGTTCGTATCCGAAGGTGCCATGTCCTCATCATCCTCCCCTTCTTGACAACAAACCGTCCTCGGTTTGGGATTAGATGAAGAAAACATTATTGGTAGTAGCCAACATTGCTCCCCTTCTTGAAATTTAACATGTTTCTTTATAACAAAACTAGGGGAACTCGACATGACAAGATTATAGCAATTGCAATCCTTTGGTTGATCATACTTTTGCACAATATAAGGAGATTTCAGATTTGAACAAATATAGACACGATGCACCATATACTCTCCTTTACAATTATATTTTCCAATAAAATGATATGTATGTCTAGAGAACCATGGCAAATCAGCATATGCATAAAGTTTCTCCTCTAAAGAACTAAGATTACACGAAACATCAAATTCAATGTAACCCAAAGTATTTAAAGAAGACAACAATTTCAGCTCATCAACTTCACTAGCATTATGAATAACAAGTCTATTTTCAGCACAAGTGCTCATTTTCAGCACACATATAGCGTGATCCTTCTTCAATGATTGCATGGGTATAACATAAATATCATCATGCAAGTCATCTTCGTCATAAGAAACATCAAGCAAATCATCTTGTGACAAAGGTAAATCAAGCGAATGCTCCACTAAAATTTGCTCTATCATAGCATGATTGGTGGAAAAATTCAGCACATCAAGAGAACTCTCACCTTCTGTGAGGTTAGCATCATGGGCATTACCTTTGCTCTCATGTTCAGCAGGGGTAATAGTTGATGGTTCTAAATTTTCACATGAGACTGTGAGCTTCTCATTTTCTGTCACGGCATCCTTGCTCTTTTTTCTACATTGTCCTGCAAAAGGTTAGGCATAGCAGAAGGAATAACAACAGACTCTTCATCTAAATAGTGCACCTCATCATATGAAGTCAAAACAGGAGGTGGATTAACAAAGGTTTCTCGCATAAGAAGTTTCATATCATTCCAAGTTTGAGGCTTATCAGAAGGATCTAAAGACTCCCACCAAGATAAAGCAGAATGTCGCAAAACACTAACTGCATTTTTTACCTTCCTCCTTGGACACATAAGGCGAGTAGCAAATATGTTATCGATAGCAATTTCCCACTCCATGTACTCATCAGCACCTATACCATCATAAGTCGGTGGATACGAACAACCTGTCATTGTAAACACAAAAACAAGGAACAAACAGTGAAGGTTATCCCTAATAATCCTACTACGCAGGTGGAGTGGTGCTGCCTCTCAAGATCACAGCAAAAGGAAACACCTTATCAAGCTCTTACAAGGTTCTTACCAACACAAAGCAGTGGACGGTACAACCGGTGGCTGGTACGTGATACCTGTGAGGGTGTGACACCAAGATTGCAAGGGTCTTTTTCTGTACCGATCTGAAGTATATGTGGAGCTTGGGAGGCACGCAAAAG